TCCTACTAGCGCACGTAGACCTAAAATCCCAAAATACACTTGACAAGTTGTTTGACCCGATTGTTACTCCCTTAACCTCACATCCAAGCAAACATAGAACCAAACGTTAAGGAAAAACTAATTTATTCCCCTCCTATAATAGTTCTACTCTTTGGGATGTTTAAAATCAGGTGGTTCGGCTCTAGACTCATAAAGAAAATTTAAAACATCAATTTAAAACTAAAATTTCAGTTTTGCTAAACATTTGGGTTGGAACACGTTAACTTTGAAAATTCACTAAATATTGAGTTTAAATCAAAATAATGTAAAACTTTCCATATCACAACTAGACATAGAAAAGTTAAAGATGTCAAAATTTGATAAAAATTAGGGTTAAGGAAGCATGTCAAAATAGAAACCCAAAACAGACTAGGCTGCATAACGTTTTTTTTTCAGGTTTGTACATTTTATTTTGAAAAATCACCAAAATTACAATTTACAACCAAACTGGATAAAATTTTCCAGATCTGAAGAAAATACGAGAAAGTAAAACATACTAAAATTTCATGAAAATCCAAGTTTAGGAAGTCTTCAAACACTTACTTCAAAACAGGGTATGTAGCAGAATCAAAACAATTCCAGTAGGATAGTCTCTACTTTGAAATTTCACAAAAAAAATCAATTTAAATTCAAATGGCGCAAAACCAACTTTGAAATAACCCTTGAGATATTCATTTTGATGTAACAAAACCCCAAAATGAAATTGGAACAAAAATCACATCGAAATAATCTAGAACTTCACAAAAACACACTTTGAAAGATATATATATATATATATATGTACTTGAGGCATTCTAACCACACTTGGTTTAAAACTAGTACTCAAAAGAAAATAAAAAGAAGAGCTTCAAGCCTTCAAAGAACCATTTACTTGAGATGATAGTGACTAATTTGAGCAATTGAATGATAAGAAACAAGCCATTGGAGAGAAAGTACACATATCTATAACAAGAGATTCAACATAACCAATTGAACAAGTTTTGTTCATATATACCAATTTTTAGAGAGTTATAATGGTTACGTTTGGATTATCTTTGGATATGTTATAAAGAGGAGAATTTGGAGTAACTATCATGAAGAAACCATAGTGTTTTGAGCTTTTGAAATGAGTGTTTTGGACTGAAAATGAGGGAAGGACCTAAGGTTGAAGACTATAAATAAGTTCCACTCTAAACGTTCCCAAGGTGGCTAGAGAAGTCCGATCAATCTGATGTTTTGATATGTTATAATAGACAGCATTTCAAACAACTTTGATGAAGGAACCAAAGTCATTTGAGTACAGGAAATCACAGAAACAAACTGAAACCGAGCATACTGCTGTGAAATCAGGAAATGGTAAACTCATTGTCATCATACCAACGTTTCAGAGCCTATACTAGTCGGATTGAGCTGAAATTTGAGTATATTATAAGAATCACGTAAATGAACAACGTTTATGAAGAAAGTTTTCTCATTTGAGCTTCCTAAATTTGAGTTCTCGGCTGCTCCAAGGAAGTGACGAATTTTGGATTTTTGAAGAGGAACAAAAGAAAAATAAGGATGAAACTAAGATGAATGAGGAAGAAAAAGATGATACAATGAATGATGAGGATAAGAGTAAAATTCATGATTGAAGAGCCTTAATTAGACTAGGTGAGTCATCCATATAGAAGAGGGGGATAATACAATGAATGGGAAGGAAGAGAGTAAGAAGGAATCTTAGGCTAGGTGAGGCACCATTTTTAGACTAGGTGACTCATCCACCATAGGTTTACAACTCAACCCCAAAATCAGATTTTTTTGAAGAGAATGTAAGTGGGAAGGGGGGAAGAATGAAGGAGGGAAGAAATGCTTGGCTTACACGTTGCCTCCTACTTTCTTTCTACAAGGGTATTTTGGTAATCTTTCACACATAGGGTTATTTTGATCATGTTTGTCCAACTTGAAATTAAACACACTTAATTTAATAATCTCAATCCAAAATCTCTTGATAAAATACCCATAATCATTCTCCACCATTATATTATTTTTCACTAAAATATGAAAATCCACCTTGAATTTTTCGGGGTATTACACTTGGGCTTTCCTAAGGTGATGGGCTATTTTATCAAAATGATGGGCTAATTTTCCTAGAGTATTGGGCTTTTTTCTCTCTTTTATGCTTACCCACATATTTGGGCTCAAGAAATGGGATTGAGTTTCGGGGCTCCCAAGCAGCCCAAAACTTCCATGTCTCGGCTCATTAATGGGCCTCATGAAAACTTGTAACCATCCATACCACAACTCACTCAGCAAGCCCCAGGCATTCACGTGGCTTGGGCCCACTTAAGCTTGTGGCGTGGCGTATTGCTTATTTGCTTGGCGTGGCACGTGTGCAAGCGTATATGACGAACTCTTGCGTACCCAAGTTGGGTTTCTTCCCAAGTTAGGTGTCGTACTGGGTTAGAAATACATTTGGGCCCAACCCTGTATTTTTTGGGCCTCAACAGGATCAAAATGATGGAGATGATTTCTAGGAGGAAGCTTGCATTCGAGAAATGGTGTAGTGTTTTGTGTTCGGTTATTGAGGATGAGTTGAAGAATTTAGCTTCAAAGGGTCGTCATTGGAGGATATGTCGCGCGAGTGAATCTATATTTGAAGTTCATGCTGATTTGAGTGTTATGGTCAATTTGGACAAGAGGTTTTGCTCCTGTTATCAGTGCCAATTGCTTGGATTTCCATGTCAGCATGCAATTCAAGTTATCCATCATTCTGGGTTATGTTTGTACGACTTTGTTGATGAGTATTACAAGGCAGACTTTTATAGGTCTACTTATGCAACCCTATATTTCCCATACCTGATATTGAGAAGCCTCCTCCTGGAGATGTTGTTCTTCTACCTCCTCATACAAGAAAGCCTTTGGGATGACCTCCGACAAAGCGCTTCAAGTCAAGCAGTGAAACTAAAAGGCAAGTAAAGTGCAAGAGATGCTGTTCTTGTGATCATCATGATAGGAGGACTTGCAAGGCCCCTATTTGATGTAAAGGTTCTAGAGTATAAAGAGTTGACTAAGTGTAGTTAGTTTTTAACTAGTTAAAGTGCTATGTGATTGATTAATGACAATCATAGTTGAAAGGAATAGAAATTGATATGCAAGTTGTTAATATGGTGAAATAGCAGTTACTACATATGAATACTCTTTGACTTTTGGTATTAATACATAATATTTACCATTTTTGGTATTTTGGAAATTTTGGTTTGGACGTTTGATATGAATTAAGCATTACTGTTGTTTGAATTATCTATAAATCAACGAACACTGTTTAATGCGCTCTGTTTACATTATTCTTGAAATTACAAGATAGTTCAATGACATAGTAATAACAAGATAGTTCTATGACATGGTATTAACAATCTATTGTTAGAAATGTGCCCTAAGAGCCAATACATTTGATGTGATCTCCTTAGAATACATTTCATATATTGTTATGAAGACCATTATTTCAGGTTACATACACTGTTAATTTACTTAAATAAACTGGTTTTTGAATAAGTACATAATTTGAATTTTAAAATCACCTTACTTTAGTGTTCTATACCTGCACAAGTCCTACGAAACTACAATATAAGCAAGAATTTTGGCAAAATATTTGATTACAACTTCATTCTTTTGCATTTCTCTCTTCTCTCTCTCTTTGATGGAAATCCAACTTCTTTCATTGCTCATAATCTTCATGAGGACTTCTTTTCTCATTTCCCAAACCTTTTCTTTGTTGAAATCTGATTCTATTGTTGGTCTTTGGAAAGCTGCTTCATGAAGTGCATGACAAAGACGCCACAATCACTGCTGCATAATAGAGATACACATGCAGGAGTTAGTTCAGCCTTTTTTTAGTTGAAGAGGATTTAAGTTTCACTATTATTGCATAACTTATGAATTGTTTGCTTGTTGGGGACATTCTCTGTTCTCCGTCAGCTTGAAGTTAGTAGTCTTATGACGAATCAGATACTTCAATGTCCGAGCTTATTCTGGTGTAAGTTTGATGCTGGCAAGTATTTTTGCAATCATTTTAGCTGAAGCTTCATTCAGCCCTCTCAGCTTCTTGGCATAAAAATCAGGAATCTAGATGAGTTTTGTCTTCAGTGATGTTGCAGCACATTCCTTAAGAAGACAGAGGAATATATTTGCTATCTCAACCTGCATCATAGTCAGGTATGTACTTTAAATTTAGTGTCCTATGTATTAACAGTGTTAATCACCAGTCTTACTTACCAAAACAATTGCCTTCTTGTGATAATATTGGAGAGTTTGTTCTGATGTCCCCCTGAATGGGTTGAAGTGTGTCCACGTTGCTGCACCGGTGTCAAAGACAAGAAGCGTATGGTGGTTCTCATATATAATTAGTATGAACACTCTATCAACTCTTCCAATATTTTCTTGGAGTGGCATATAGAAAGCATCATATGTCAACTTGTATGAAGCACCTCGCAAAAACATCTGCAAAAGTCATCTGTTGGTAATTAGTGAGCATGTTGATGATATAAATTTGATGTATTAGATGTGATCCTACATTGTTATTGGCGGACAAGTAAGCATTTTTTTGTTTGAGTGTTCTGCTTTGCATCATCATTAAGGGCCTCTCCATAAGCATCGATGATAAGTGCAGAAATTGGATCATCTCCCATCAACTTTTCAATGTTATGTTTGTACAATATTGTCCTATTGTTTAGGTAAAAAGCGTCCCTGCAACAATAATGTTGTTCAAATAATAATTCAGCAAATGAAAATCTCATAACAGTTTAATAACAAGACAGTTCTATGACATAGTATTAACAGTGTAATTCTAGATAGTTCTACTACATGGTATTAACAGTGTAATTCTATGACAGATTGGCTTACTCATCAGAATCAGATGCAGTTTTCCAGTAATTTTCCAACTTCCTCTTTGATATTTCATCCAGCCTATTGTAGACCTTATACATGTGCAACTGAAGGTATGTATCTTTGTCCTTTTTTTTGTTGGTTGCTTCATCTTCGCTTTGGCTTGCTCTTTTTTGGGCTTTCTTATGTGCTTCGGGGTATGTGTAATCTTGTTTTTTTGCAGGCTTTCTGTCTTTTCTGTCTTTGATTATTTTGATGCCAGAACGTAACTGTCGTGTTCCTACTTCTTTCACTGGCATGATAACTGATTTTTCAGGAGTTTTCTCATCAGCATTCTCATCTTCATCATTAGGAGATTCTAGCATCTCCAATTCACTTTCTTCCTTCTTTTCTTCCGTTGTGTTATCATCTTTCTGATTGTCTTTTCCATATGTTCTTTCAAGGTTCTTTGTTGGTTTCTCAATTTTCTGCTCAATCTGTTCTGTTGTTTCACCTTCAATTGCTTCGTTGTTGTCTCGTTCTTCTGCTATTCTCTCATCTTTTTTCTCCTTATCAGCTTGTTCTTTCATTGGAATTTCTCCTTGTTCCCCTTATTTGAGATTTTTCACCATCATATGTTTCAGAGAGGCAATAACAATGTCTTTTTCTTTCATGCTCTTAATGCAGGACAACTTTTCCCCTTCAAGGAGTTCACGTTGTTCTTGTAGCTGTCTCCTATTTGATTTTAGTGCATGAAGTGCCCCTTGTAATTTTTTACTTTATTTTTCTTCTTGGTCAAGCTGCTTTTTAAGTATTTCGATTTGTTGCTCCAAATCTTCTTTTTCAGCCCATATTTGGTGAATGAATGTATTTTTCTTGCTGTAGGATTCTATAGCAGTCTGCATCATATCCTTTCGAGTATCTGCCTTTTCAATCCAATAGTCGACTGCTTTCTTCAACTGTTGGATTTTCTCATGGGTAGGGACTATTTCATGCTTGTAGTACTCTGGGATTGAACCCACTATGTCCTCAAAAATATTGTCGAAGTTGTCTTCCTGGCTGTCAAGTTCTGGATCCTGTTGCTGGACATTAACAGTCCTCTCCTCCGTCATTGTGTCTGCACTAAGGTCAACTGCTTGTTCTTCAATTTCATCATCTGCTTTGCATCCCAATGATTGTGCATTGTCTTCATTTTCCTCCTGAAGCACAATAGCTTTTTTCTGCTTAGGTTAATAATAGAACGTTCGCAACTAAAACTGATAATTTTGTTTTTGGTTTCTGGTTGCATTTGGATATTTAAACGATTTACATTTGTTTTTAATTTGTGGAGATATTTTACCTTTTGCTCATGTTGTGGAGTTTTTGTTTGGGTTACACTTTGGTCCACATTTTCATGGAAGCTAAAGTTCTGTTTATGGGTAGTAACAGTCTGCTTTTTTCCTTTTTGTGTTTTGACTCTTTAATTGCCACAAATATTAGAGAGGAAAAAAAAGAGCATTAGCAACTTTATATACATTTATATGTGTTTGTACACCGTCAGTTTTCAAATATAAATGTTTGATCATTGTAGGTTATCTTACCCAATCTTTAAGTGTGATAACAAAGTCTTCATCCTCTTCATGGTCTGCATGATCAGTCTTTGTTGCTTCTTCTTCTTTTTCATTGTCAGCAGCTTTTATCTATTTAATGATTGGAGTCATCAGTAGTAATTATGGTGTACTAACATTATATATATATATATATGTGTGTGTGTGTGTGTGTGTGTGTGTGTTTATCGAAGTAAGAATATATGTTTTCATATTTTGCAATATTCAGCTTGATATTGAGCTCCGGAAGGCTCCATTTGACAGCTGCTAGTTTGTGATCTTCTCTTCCAGGAATTGGACTGATCAGGTTAGTTCTTTCACACAGCCAATACTGCACACATGTTTTTCAATATAAAGCGTTAATGCACATGAAAACAAATAATATAATAGGATTAACAAATGGATGTAGTTTCTTACCAGGATTAGCACAAGACAACCACTCACACTTGGTTGATTTGTCTTGTCTTTTTTATTTTTTATGGCTTGGTCCAGTCCAACATACATGTAATCTAAGACTCCTTGTGCCCAGTTGTAGCTGTTCATTGCTTCTAAGGTGTCGATCATAATCAAAAAGGTCCAAGCCATTGTCGCCCCAGAGTTGCAAAAGAGATTTGTGATGAAGAGCTCTAGGATTAACAACCTCACAACATCCATTGCATTCTTGTTTATGTGATCTGCTATTGCTGTGTTCAGACACCTATCAAGATCAGTTTTTGTGATTTTTTTTTTGAATTCTTGAAGTATTTCTCTTCAAAGTCCAAATTTGTTCTTGTGGAAGTTGTTGTGCTTGGCGACTTGTTTCCTTTGTTTGGCAATCCAAAGATGTCAGACACATCGTTGCTTGTAATTTCATATTCGTTGCATTCACTGAATTTGAATTTTTTGGTTGTAGGGTTGTAGAGTTTGATCAGTCTAATTATTTGATAATTAGACTTCTGGCACTCTGTCTTGGTGAACTGTCCTGCCATGTAAGCCTTGATGATGCTCCAAAATGGCCTTTTTTTGTGGGATCTTGAGGACATCCTTTCTTGCTTCAAGCTTGTCTTTTACCGTTTGAATTGTGTTGTCAAATGTGTTCATGTTGCTCTTGATCTGCACATGATTTGGGTTATTGCGTCTGTTTGGTTTAGGTTTTTTTTTTGGGAATGTGTTCTTTTGGTCTTCGTTGTTTTCTTTGGTTTCAGTGTGTTTGTGGATTTGGGTGTGGATGGCTTTGGTGTTTGTTTAGCTTTGGTTTTTGATGAAGGTGGATTGGCTTTAGGTGTTGACAATTTGGCTTTTGTTGTTGTTGGTGGTGTGCCTTGTGTGTTTGTTGATGCTATTTTGTGCTTTTGCTGGCTTGGGATCCTTTTGTATGCTTTTTTTTTTTTTTGGTTGTATTTCAACCCGGTTACCTTTTTCCATATGACCACCTGCTAAGTGAAGCAAATAGGTTACTTTAACTAAACAAAAGAAAGATGACACATGAGTATTAATACTTCTATGACATGATATTAACTATTTACTTCTATGCATTTGAACCTCATGCTTCTCTTTCTAGTGCACTACAATTTATTTCATATGCATTTCTAGTGCATGTTATATATTTTGGTCTATGACATGGTATTAATCAAGATGCATAGCAGTCCCAGATTTTGATTAACAAAGCATGCTATATATTTTGGTCTTCAAGTGCACTACAAAGCAGTGCAGTAGTGCATAGCAGTCCCAGATTTTGACTAACAAAGCATGCTATATATTTTGGTCTTCAAGTGCATTGCAGTGCACTAGAAGAGCAAGATGCATAGCAGTCCCAGATTTTGACTAACAAAGCATGCTATATATTTTGGTCTTCAAGTGCATTGCAGTGCACTAAAAGAGCAAGATGCATAGCAGTCCCAGATTTTCAGTAACAAAGCATGCTATATATTTCGGTCTTCAAGCAGTGCACTAGAAGAGCAATATGCATAGCATTTCTAGATTTTCAGTAACAAAGCATCCTATATATTTTGAAGTTTTATGACAGTATTAACAGTTCAAGTTCTATGGCATAGTATTAACAGTTGTGAAACATATACATTGCAGTCAAAACATGCTTCTTTTCAAAACATGTCAAAACATTGCTATTGGACTTTGAAGTTAGAGATTTTGTAATACCTTGGAGTTTGATACTGATGCTTTGTCAGTTATTTCTGAAGCTTCTTTGTTTGATTTGGGATGCTCTTCTGTGCTTTTTGCATCTGGAGTGTTTGTTTCTGATTCTTGGTCAGTGATTTTTGCAGGTTGGGTCTTTGATTCTGTCATTATTGGAACTTTTCGTCGGTTACCTGTATGAAACATTATACACTTGCATTAGTTAGCCCGATCTTAACACGAAAGTGGAAAGCGAGTTTGCGTTTTTGAGATTGTACCATTTGTCGATCTTTATGGATGAAATTTTCTTCCTTTTTTCCTGGGTTGTCCTTGTGCTCAATTGCTATTTTAGGGTTTTGTAGTGTCGATTTTGAAGACTTGTGGCTATGGCAGTTTGTAACTTCGAGTCGCCGGCTTTCTCATTATGGAGTTTGTCATTGATTGGTGGTTATGGAGTTTGTCTCCTGTTCGGTTTATGGAAGTTGTCGCCTACTTTTGGAGTCGGTGTCGCAAAGATCGGAGTGAGAGGTGAGTTGGTTTTTCACTTTTTGGGTCGTGCGTCTATTTTTCACAACTATTCTCTGCGTTTAATTTTTTTTTTTTCGATGGGCTTGGTGAAATTGGGCCTTTTTTTTTTAGTTTTCTCGGCTTTTTTTAATGAGACTTTTTGTGATTTCTTTTAGTTTATTTGGGTTTTTTTTTTCAAATTAGATTGGGCATTTTTTCTGTATTTTATGATGGCTTATTTGATTTTTTTGGGCTTTAGTTCGTTTCTAACCTCCTTTTTGTCAACTTGGGTTGGGCTTTTTGAAAGTCACTGTTAATGCGCATTTTGAAACCCACTGTTAAGAATTTTGAAAATGAGAAGCTACAGAGTAACAATTTTTTACATTTGAATTTCACTACACAGTAACTACAAAGTTAAGAAGCAGCAAAAGATTTTGTTTAGAAGCTACATAATAACAATTTGACATTTGGAAGTTAGAAGCTACATATTGGATAGTTCTAAAATCTGTGAAATCCATGCTTTAATCCTTTATTCCCTTTTGTGAAATACCAACTTTTTTCACTTGCCATTGTCTTCAATAAAATTTCTTTTCTCATTTCCCACACTTGCTCTGTACTCAAGCTTTCTTCAATTTTTTTTCGTTGCGACAACTGCTGCATGTAGTACATGACAAATACACCACAATCTTTTCTGCAAATTCACACACATATATGCAATGTTTAGTGAATCATAGTTTAATTTGAATCGGGGGAAGAAAAGTGTTATTGTGACACTTACGAATTTTCGGGTTGTTGGGCGCATTCCCTGTCCTCCTTAAAGTTGCATTTGGTGGGATCATGTTTCATCATATATTGTATTGTTTGAGCAATTGCTGGGGTAACTTTCAAGTTTGGAAGAAGTTTTGCAATGTCTTCGGTGAATTCTTCATTGTAGATTAGCTTCTTAAACTCAAGAAGTGTGAAGCTGTTTTCTTTTAAAAATTTTGGAGCACATTCCTTCACACTATTGAGGAAGACATTTGAGGTGTCTACCTGCATTGTAGGCAAGTATGTTGTTAGCTTCACTGATTCTTGTTTAACTGTTTTGTTAATGCCTTGTATTAACAGTTCACAGTAGGAGTCTGTCTTACCAAAATTACTGCTTTTTTGTTGTAGTATTCAACTATTTGCTCCGTTTCCCCCCTCAAAGAGTTGTAGTGCGTCCATTGCAATGAATTGGTGTCAAAGACAAGGAGGGTGTGGTGGCCATCATCCGTTATTGGTATGAAAACCTTTGAAGTTTTCCCTATTAATTCAAGGATTTTGACAAAATATTCATCAAACGTTCTTGTGTGCATTTTCCCTGTGAGATACCTCTGCAAGATTAATAGTTTCAGCATTAGAAA